CTGGAATGACAAGCAAGTTTGGCCCTGGAGTACAAAATGAAGTAGGACACAGGCTAACAGAGTTTTGTCAAGAGAACATGCTGGTCATAGCAAGCACCCTTTTCCGACAACACACAAGACGACTCTATACGTGGGCATGACCAAATAGTCAATACTGAAGTCAAATTGATTATATTCTTTGCAGCTGAAGATGGAGAAGCTCTATACAGTCAGCATAGACAAGACCTGGAGCTGACTGTGGCTCAGATCATTAGCTCCTTTTTCCAAAATTCAGTCTTAAATTGAAGAAAATAGGGGAAACCACTCGGCCATTCAGGTATGACCTAAATCAAATCCCTCATGATTATGCAGTGGAGGTGACGAACAGATTCAAGGGATTAGATGTGACAGACAGAGTGCCTGAAGAACTATGGACAGAAGTTTGTAACATTGTACCGGAGGCAGTGACCAAAACCATTGCAAAGAAAAAGAAATTCAAAAATTTCTAAGTGGTTGTCTGAGGAGGCTTTACAAATAGCTGAGAAAAGAAGAGAAGCAAAAGGCAAGAAGGGAGAAAGGGAAAGATATATCCAACTGAATGCAGAATTCCAGAGAATAGCAAGGACAGATAAGAGCGCCTTTTTAAATGAACAATGCAAAGACATAGAGGAAAACAATAGAATGGGAAAGACTACAGATCTCTTCAAGAAAATTGGAGGTATCAAGGGAACATTTCATGCAAGGATGGGCATGATGAAGGACAGAAACAAAACAGACCTAACAGAAGCAGAAGAGATTAAGAAGAGGTGGCAAGAATACACAGAAGAACTATACAAGAAAGGTCTTAATGACCTGGATAAACATGATGGTGTGGTCACTCACCTATAGCCAGACATCCTGGAGGTGAAGTCAAGTGGGCCTTAGGAAGCATTACTACAAACAATGCTAGTGGAGGTGATGGAATTCCAGCTGAGCTATTTAAAATCCTAAAAGATGATACTGTTAAAGTGCTGCACTCAATTTGTTAGCAAATTTGGAAAAATCAGCAGTGGCCACTGGATGAGGTCAGTTTCTCTCCAATCCCAAAGAAGGGCAATGCCAAAGAATGTTCAAACTACCTTACAATTGTGATCATTTCATATGCTAGCAAGGTCATGCTTAAAATCCTTCAAGCCAGGCTTCAACAGTACGTGAACTGTGAACTCCCAGATGTCCAAGCTGGGTTTAGAAAAGGCAGAGGAACCAGAGATCAAATTGCCAACATTGGTTGGATCATGGAGAAAGCAAGGGAATTCCAGAAAAACATATAATTCTGCTTTGTTGACTATGCTAAAGCCTTTGACTGTGTGGATTACAACAAACTCTGAAAAATTCTCAAACAGATGGGAGTTCCAGAATATCTTACCTGTCTCCTGAGAAACTTGTATGTGGATCAAGAAGCAACAGTTAGAACCAAACATGGAACAATTGACTGGTTCAAAACTGGGAAAGGGGTACGGCAAGGCTGTATATGGTCACCATGCTTATTTAACTTCTATGCAGAGTACATTATGTGATAGGCCAGGCTGGATGAATCACAAGCTGGAATCCAGATTGCCGGGAGAAGCAACAGCAACCTCAGATATGCAGCTAATACCACTCTAATGGCAGAAAGTGCAGAGAAACTAAAGAGTCTCTTGATGAGGGTGAAAGAGGAGAGTGAAAAAGCTGGCTTAAAACTCAACATTCAAAAAACTAAAATCATGGCATCCAGTCCCACCACTTCATGGCATATAGATGGGGAAACAGTGGAAACAGTGACAGATTTTCTTTTCCTGGACTCCATAATCACTGCAGATGGTGACTGTTGCCAAGAAATTAAAAGATGCTTGCTCCTTGGAAGAAAAGCTATGAAAAAACCTAGACAACATATTCAAAAGCAGAGACATCAGTTTGCTGACAAAGGTCCATCTAGTCAAAGCTATGGTTTTTCTAATAGTCATGTGTGGATGTGAGTTGGACCATAAAAAAGGCTGAGCACCAAACAATTGTTGCTTTCGAGTTGTGGTGCTGGGGAAGACTCTTGAAAGTCCCTTGGACTGCAAGGAGATCCAACCAGTCCATCCTGAAGGAAATCAACCCTGAATATTCACTGGAAGGACTGATGCTGAAACTGAAGCTCCAATATTTTGGCCACCTGAAGTGGAGAGCTGACTCATTGGAAAAGACCCTGATGCGGGGAAAGATTAAAGGTGGGAGGAAAAGGGGATGACAGGATGAGATTGTTGGATGGCATCACCAAGTTAATGGACATGAGTTTGAACAAACTCTGGGAGATAGTGGAGGACAGAGGAGTCTGGCGTGCTGCAGTCCATGGGGTTGCAAAGAGTGGGACATGACTTAGCGACTGAATATCAATGGCTGCAGAGACCCCTGAGGCTGTTACTGTAATTCCAAAGGGCTCTTAATAGGTTCGTTGTTTCCCAAGATTATTTGAAAGTTAATGGAAGACAACATATTCTGGATATCCCAGTCTCTGTTATCTGGGGAATACAGAATTTTTTGTGAAGACATTGCAAAACAAACTTTTGAGTACTGTTGTTCTCCAGGCTTTATTGGTGTTCTTTAAAATTAATTGGAGCACTAATAGAACTATTTTCTAACACTGTTCAGTTAATATAAGTACTGTAAACTAGAACTTTCTCTGATGATGGAAATGGCTGATACGGTTAAGTGCTAGGCACTTGTGGCTATTGTCAGCTACAGACTGGCATTTGCCATGGGCACTTGCCATCCATCTCTACAAGAATTAAATTATGTATGGCTACAGCTGCTGATTTTCAACAACGCCTGAAAGGAGATCAGGATTGAGAGTAGAAGTGTGGGCCTCTGTGCTCAGGGAAAAGCTGGCAGTACAAGTCTTCAGGTAGATATTTTCAGGAGCTGATTTTATGAGCCCAGTTTTTGTATCTCCTCATGTAGAAAAGCACTAATATCCTTTATGGTGACGAGTGCTCCTCGTGACTCGGCATTTAGGCTCAATGTCAGTAGGTGATACATGAAGTGAAATTAATTTTTTTCATTTTGGGTAACTGGTGCAGGCTTTAATCTTTATTTTATCATATTACCAGTCCACAGGGTTAGGACTGTCAACATTTACTGTCTGTAACTTGAGATCACAGCAAATTGCAGCTTGAGTTGACACCAGTGATTGCCTGGCGATGATGGGGAATGAAGGTAGAGCATAGGGCACAGGACCTAGTGAAGTGCTACCTCTCAGTTTGCTATACCCTCCTCCTTCAGTCAGTCCTCACTGTGCTCCCCAGGCCCTAAAAATGGTCACACATCTGAGGGAGGTGCTGAGCATATGACATGGTGATGATGGTGATGATGATAACAACTGTGGTACTAGAGGTAGCTGCCAACACTGAGTTCTCACTGTGTGGGAGGCGCTAGCTAAGGACTTTGAACATTAACTAGCCTCTAGTGGTCTTGGGTCACAAGTGTATTGGGCCTTTCTCTGGGGTACTGAGCTTCCAGAATCAATGAGTATTGTCTTCCTAACCAAATGATGAGGGACCAGGATGTCCAAACAGGACATGCTCAGTGGCCCAGGGCAGCAAAGACCAATATTCTCCTGGGTGAAACAAGGAGGGACAGTGTAATATATGAAAACCACAATCAAACAGTGAGTCTCACCTGTTTCTTCCTATAACAAATAAGAACATTTCATCTGATGTGGGAAATTAACCAAAAGCCGTTCCCCTGGGACTTCCCTGGTGGTCTGGTAGCTAAGATCCTGCATTTCCAATTACCAACCAGATCCCACATGCTGCTCAAAAAGGATCCCATGTGTTGCAACCAAAGATTCCGAGTGCTGCAACTAAAACCCAAATAAACAAATAAAAATAAATATTAAAAATGTTTATTAAAAAACAGAGAATCCCCCCCTACCTAAGCCACTACCTTTTGGGGTTTTGTCAGCACTAAAAGGAGCAAACTATCCTAAAGACATGAGCATATTGAATATTAGACCCTGAACTTTCAACTTTCTGTTAAGAAAAACCTTTCTGTTAGTAACTAGATAAATATGACTAATTTTTTTTTCCATTTTTAGCCTTAGACCACAAAGTGCCAGTGTTGAGAAGAAGCCATTCTGGGGAGGATGTGGGCTTGCTGGTAGGAAACCACACCCAGCGACCAGAAATTTATTATGACTCAGGCCAGTTCAGTTTAATGAGAACACAGTCAATGATGGAAGAAACAAAATAAACTTACAATAAAAATATATTTATGAAGCAGTTTCAAGGCAATGGATTTAGCTAGATTGGCACTGCTCATAAGTTCCTTTTTAATGTGAATGTAGGGTCAGAGAGAGTAAACCCAAGGAAGAAAAGTTGAGAAACCTACAATCTGGAAGCAAACCAACATCGGAAAACTGTGTGAATTCACTGTGAATGGTGGAAAATATAGAAAATAACTATTTGGCAGATACGCTTAACCAGTGCGTTAAACTCATGTCTCCACCATCACACACATTATCCTCTCCTATCATCCCAGGGGTTCTGTGCCCATGTCACTTTGCCTCCAGGGGACCTTTCAGGAGGTCTTGAGACAGTTAGGGATGCCATGAAGTCTGTAGTGCACAGTCCAGCCCCAACAGCACGGAATGAGCCACCCCCAATGGCAGCAGTGCCGTGGAGTCAGGGAAGACCATCTGCCACCTCACCTGATCTACAGGGTCACAGCAAAGCACACATGGGCCAGCTGGTCAGCTACAAGTAACTCTTCTGCAATTTCTAATGAGGGTTGGAACGTTCCAGAGTGCATCATCATGATGTGCACCTCACACTTAGGTCAGCTGTGGCTCGATAAAGTTAGGGGAAAAACTTCGTATCTTAACAGAGAAATAATGGAGTATTCGCTTCAAGGCATCTAATCCCAGTCTGGGATGCGGCTGACATCAGAGCTGCACACACTCAACACACGTGACTCTTAGGAAACAACCAGGCTTCTGCTCCGCCAGGCAGCTGTGTACTCACAGACTCGGTTCCGGGATTTGTAAGTGCAGGTGTAGAGGCTGCAAGGCCTTGCAGGCGTGGATCTCAGAGTCTGGAACCTTCTCCACAGTGTCTTGCATGGAGAGGCTTGAAGAATGGCCCTCAGGTGACTCATCATCACCATCTTTAGCTTAAAAGCTTGATCAGCTCCCCAGTAGCTTGCAGGAACCTAACAGCCTAGTGGCAGGACAGAAGAGGCAAAGCCATAAATAATAGAGGTCCCAATCACGTGGAAAACATCATTTAGATTGTTTGTATGGGGAAGGAGGAGGTAAATATGGCAGGAGTGGAGTAAACCGGAGGAGGGTGGTAGGAGATGAGGTCCAGAGGTAGTGGATGCCATATCAAGGAGACTTCTAGGCCATTGTAAAGGTTCTTTCTCAGGGTTTCTCAGCTTAGGAATTGTTGACATTTTTGACCAGATAAGTCTGTTGTAAAGAACTGGTCTTTGCACTGTAGCATGTTTAGAAGCATCCTTTGTCTCTACCTACTAGATACCAGTGGTACCCTCCATCCAACTGTGACAACCCAAAATATCCTCAGGCATTGCAGATTCCCCTGGAGAACAGGAGTCACCTCTGATTGGGAACTACTGCTCTATGGAAAATGGGAACACAATGAGGTTTTTGGAATAGAGGAGGAATTTAATCTGACATGCATTTAAAAAATATCATTCAGGGTGCCCTACTGGAAAATGACCAGAATGGAAGAAAGCAGCAGGGACCCCATTCAGGATAATCCAGGGGCTGCAACTAAGGATGCTGCAGTGGACGTGGTGGGAAGTGGCTGGGCACAGGCCTGTATCTTGGGGACACAGCCTGTAAGATGTGAAAGAAAGCAGTCAAGGAAGGCTGGCAGATTCTTGACCTAAACAACTGCAAGGATGGAGTTGCCATGAACTGAGATGGGAAGGCTGTGTGTGAAAAAGGTTTTGGGTGGGAAATCTGTAGATCAGATTTGGGTATGTGGAGTTTGAAATGAAATTCCAACAATTCAAGTGAGAGAATATGGTAGAATAGTCTACCTTGTGGTAAAACGAGGATGAATCCCTGAACAGAGAAACAGAACCTGGCACGGGAGCAGGTGAGGAGGGAAAGATGGTGCTCTTATTGCTAATCCTACTGGATTTGAGGTGCTGGGGCGGGGGCAGGCGAGAGGAAAGGTCTAGGGAGAGTTGGCAATGCCACGCCGGTGTTCAGGAGAGATTGTGAGGCTAGAGAGAGAAGGAAAATCCCCTCCCCCAGGGGTAACAGGTGTCATTTTGCTGTCTTTTTGTTTAATCACTAAGTCTGACTCTTGTGACCCCATGGACTGTAGCTCAGCAGGCTCCTCTGCCCATGGATTTCTCAGGCAAGAATACTGGAGTGGGTTGCCAGTTCCTTATCCACGGTATCTTCCTGAGCTAGGGATGGAACCCACGTTTCCTGAATTGCAAGCGGATTTGTTACACCTGAGCCACCATGGTGATTAGGGAGGCATGAGAGAACAGTCAAAGGTAATCAAGGAAGGAACAGAGCACGCAAGGTCAGGGGCCAGGAGGGCTCCAGGGAAATCCTAAGAGGAAATTCAGCTAATGCTAAGGTGTCCCTGGTGGCTCAGACAGTAAAGAATCCGCCTGCAATGCGGGAGACCTGGGTTCAATCCCTGGGTTGGGAAGATCCTTGGAGGAGGGGCATGGCAATCTACTCCAGTATTCTTGCCTGGAGAATCCCCAAGGACAGAAGAGCCTGGTGGGCTGCAGTCCATGGGGTTGTAATGAGTCGGATGCAACTGAGTGACTAAGTATAGTACAGGCTACAATACCTGTAACAATACAAGAGATTATTTATGTCAAGATATATGCTTCAGAAAGATCCTTATCAGAAAAATGTTTATGAATTTGCACCTAGAGTATAAACTGCAAAATTTAGAATTAAAAGTAAACTGATACTCATTATTAAATAGTCCATGGGTGAATCCTGGAATGTATAAATGTACAGTATTCTCAAGCTGTATTTTGTTATACAGGCACAGGAAAGATGTGCCCATGACGTGGATGGACCCCAGGGAAGGCAAGTTTTCTGTGCTACATCCCCTTTGCTATCATTGATTATTTATATATGTTCTTAGATTTTACTTACACCTTCCTTATCTGCTCTTTGCAGACAGAAATCCATGAATGAAAATAGATTCCAAAAGCCTTTTAAAATAATTTGTAGATTGTTTATTAAATGCCTTGACTCTCGATCTCTGCCTGATTAAGCCATTTATACTTTGCAAAACAGAAAAAATTAACCCAACTAAAGGTTATAATTATGTTGAAAACAAATTTCTTTCTTATCAAATGGACTGTTGACTTTTTGCCTTCTGATTTAGAAAGGAAGATAGCCTTTTCCAATTCTCTGAAATTTTAATTGTATGTTTCCTTATCTTGACTGAGAAAGATCTGCTTCCTCCTCTCACTCACTTCTTTCAGAGTATGATCCCAATATGGGGTTATCAAAAGTTAAGTTTATAATTGTTTAGTGCACTGCAACTAATTGCTCCAGTGGAATTTCCCTCCTTCCATCAGATTTCCTCAATATTCATATTTAGTCAAAAGGAATTCAACTCTTATTGTACTCCAAGTATAAGTGGTGGCAGCCTTTTGTCTGGCTCCAGGAACATCAGGGCAGATGTGCACAAGCATAGCAATGGTGCTCTTGCTTCTTTCGGCCTTTAGGTGAATTTTAGACCTGGCATTGAGTTTAAATTTCTGAGTAAAGTAAGAAAGCCTTAGAAAGTTAAAAGGTTTTCTTTTTCAAAATACTCAGGAACAGTGTAGCTCTTCATTAGGGCCCAGAAGGGTGACTAAGGGGGGAGGGGGAAAGCAGGAGATGAATGAACTTTGGTAAGCTGTGGACTTCAATGCAGGCTGAGAATAGAGACGTTCTGAGGGATGTGCAGGGGCAGCTTATGGGTAGGGTGAAAGCTTTCACCAGATTCCCGAGTTCTCTCCATATTCCATCAAGAATTTTAAACAGCACGGTAGAGATGACCAGACTGTCAGCAAAGGAAAAAAGGGAAGCAGAAAGCAATGTGGTTTACAGTGGGTGACAGAGAATGAATCCTACTCAACATAACATGAACGCATCTTTGTTATCTCCCCATGTTTTTCAAGCTTTTCAGCAAAAATAAACAAGAGGAAATTACATTAATAACAAGGACTTTCTAGCATCCTCAGAGAAATAGCTTTTACTTTATTTATTTTTTGGCCTCCCTGCGCGTTAGTTCCCAGACTAGGGATCGAACCCGTGCCCCCTGCAATGGAAGCTCGGAGTTTTAACCACTGGACCACAAGAGAAGTTTGAGAGCAGTAGCTCTTAACTCATGCCACAAAGAATCACAGCCACCAACAACATCTATATTTGGTAGACTCTTCCCCTCTAGCTCCAGGACTGGACACAAAAGAAAAACAGTAGAAGAACTGAGGAGTAGAGAAGGCTTAGACATGGCCACAAGACATAGCTGCTGATCCTCTGCTCTGGGGGTGGTTGTGAATCCGTCCATAGCCCTTGGCATAGTCAGGGAGAAGATCAACAATGCAGATATGACTGAATCCCAGTTTGCTGGGACTCGATCACTGAAACTGCAACCCCCTCACTTCCCAAACTCTCTGGGACACCTGTTCTACTTTTAAATGCACAAAACTCTAAGAGGGGTGTAGTGTTCTCGCGACTCTCATAGCGGAGGAACAGGATTAGAGGAGGGAAGGGGTGATTTCCTGCTTCTTCCCCCTCCATCCCACAGAGGAGCCCTGCCGGGACTGGCCATCTCTAGAGGGGCCAACAGCTGTGCCGGGTCCGGAGCCCACTGCAGCGCATGGTAGTATGCAGAAGAGGATCCCTGCTCTCTCTGCTAGGTAACGCTCCCCTGCGCTCACGCTCCACTTAACCGCCCGACCTTATCCAAGATTTCCCAGAGCGGAAACCCCTCTGCCACCGGGATGAGAGGGTCATGCGTGCGGCCATCTTGTCTACGCCCCCTTTTGCCTAGACACGCCCCTCACGCCGCAACACGTCACTTCGCTTATCCTACGTCACGGCCCCGCACGCTCCGCCCACGTCCCGACGAAGCCTGAAGTTCCCCCGGCCACACTCCCCGGGTCAGAGCTCGAAACTCTTCTCCTCCCAGCCCTCCACCTGCTCTTCGCCCTGACCCTGACTATACCTCTGCTGCCATCGCTCCGGGCTTCCAGCCGCGGCAACGAGCCTGCGCGGTAAGTTGGTCCCGCCTCTGGCCTCCGCCTGGACCCACCCTTCCTTGGCGCTGGACCATCTTTGTCGCACTCCTTAGAGCGTCAGAGCCACGCCCTCACGGACCATCCACGTTCACGGTACGTCCTTACGTTGCGCCTACACCAGGGCCCGCCTTTCTCTTACGTCACTTGCGTCTTGTACGCCACTCCTCACTACCGACACTCATCGGAATCCTTTCACATTCCTTTTTTCCCTCGGGTCATGCTTGTTGAGCTGACACCACGCCACTCCCTTTGTGCTTGTATCTCTTCCACTCTGATAGTTTATCTGCCCTCTGCCTGAGCTCACACCCCGCAGTCTCGACCAACTCTGTCTTGCGCTTCTGAGCGACTATGCCACGCCCTTAACGTGCCGATTGAGTCCAGCATTTTCCGGTCACGCCTCTGTGCTACTCCTAGGCCACTCCCCTCCCGACGTGGCCGTCGCTGACGCTCCTTCCCACGATGTCCAGGCCCGTCCCTCAGGTCCCTGCCGCACCACAGGATCCTGAGGTCTTCGTTGATCACACTCCGCGCACGCGCGTTTCCTTGTATTCCGTCGTGGCCACTCCCTGTATTCCCAGGACAGCCACTTCTGGTTACACTCTTGACAGATCCACGCCCCCTGCTCTCCCCTACTTGGCCGAGCCTGATCTTGAGAAGCCTCAGAGAAGCGGGCGGAGCTCACGAATCTCTAGAGGAAATCTTCCAGGTCTCAGAGCTAGATGTTGGCGGCTTTTATAGGGTGAAACCAACTTGCAGGTTTCTGCTTCTCGCCTAAAAATGTTTGCTTTATATTTCTCCGGGTTCCAAACACCACAACCCCAAGAGCAGAAACCGGGTAGGAAAGGTAACTGAGAACCAACTGA